CTTGCTTCCCTTCAGAAAATATACATTTTAACCAACTTACATGACATTCTATGTTATGTTGACTTTATCATATGAAAGTTTATAGTGCATTTCATCAATTAATAAATAAATGTGAAAATCGTAATTTTCAACACAAATAATAGTCTCGCTACCTTAAGTTGAAAAATGAAACATCAAGCACTAAACCTTCAACTTTGCTTTGAATATCTACAACATTAATACGATTCTTTTTAATTACCTATTTCTATATAGATTTGTAGGCATTAGTGTTTTAATTTTCTTGATACTTTGAGGACTGTACCATTGTTGCAATGAACCAAGAGTATCAAAAGGTTTTCAATATCTGGACTTTTCTATTCGATTTTTTTTTTAAATTTTTAAATAAATGTGTCAATATTATAGAGGTTCAGAGAATTAGGTCATCTATGTTTGGATTATTGAGAATGGGGATTGTGTTATTGCAATACACCACAGCTTTCCTGTGCAACTTCAATCATTTTGAAATTGGTCTACAGTTGATTTGACGACTGGGGGCTTCACTGTTGTTTTACAATGTGACCTAGAAAGCCTTCTCCATGAGAAAGTCGGCCAGTCTGATGACTGACTGTACAACAGAAGTCTCTAAATGAGTCAGAGTGATGTTTGGAACTAGACCTGACCTCAGCTAGTCCTCTCATTTACTGTATTAGCTTACCACCCTTTTTGCCTCTACCAGATCCTTTTTCCCTGGCTTGCCCCGACTGGCTATCTTAATTGTTCTGAAACTATATTCTGGCCAGATCACTGCATAGAAGTGCTCACGATTAATTGTCATAAGCCAAGGTGCTTCAATGGTGGCCCCTAGTTTCAAATGATTGTGATTACTGTCTGACAACATAGAAGAACAGAAGTTTATGGAGGACAGACCTGTGCAAGTTGTGATATCTGTTCTGTCTGCTTTGGTGAAAATGGCCAACAAGCACCGATGCACAAGGCTGTGATCAGTTAGCCTAAATCCTGCAACTGATGGAGTGTTCTGTAGCATCAGCAATTTTGGTTTTGGTTCGAGACAGTCCATGATATACAATTGACGAATATCTCTATTTTCAGACATTATCCAAACAGTGACTAATAAACACAAGATATTTCATAGTATGTGTATACAAGGCCAACTTTAATTTCAGTGTTCACTATGTTGAGAATAACGCATACAATGTAGAGTTGTATTTAGCACCAGTTGAAAGATATAAACACAATATGTCTGCACTATATATTACAATATTGTTACTTACTACTAATAGACATAATGAAGACATTCTCAATGTAGCACATTTTCTGCTAAACCAGTTCGGGTAATACACATGCTGGAATGATCAGGCATAATACGGTATGGCTTTCGCATCATTATTTCAAAATTCATCACAATTGAATAGTGTTTTTCCTTTTTTGTGTGCTTCCCAGTTCAATCGCATTGTACATTGTATTTTCGAATCATACATTTTAACTGGTGTAGGATAAAATATCGCCACCTAGTGTCTTGGAGACTCAAATGCGATAAAAACACACAAATCTTTGCAACAGGTTTGGTAAAATCTATCTACCTTCTCAGGGTTTGTGATATTCGATATAGCAAGCAGTCCGTTCATTAACACGCATTACATGTAATCATTCAGAATGTCTAGTATATGTGACTATAGAAATGCCCTAAACTTACAATAACTGTTGAAACATAATAAAGAAAACAACTTAAATACCTACACATTCCACAACCTGAAACTGACAGTTTCTTGTCATAATTTAAATGACTACAGAAAGTATATCTACACATCTTTTCAAAATCTTAGTAACAACGAAAGTACCTGATGATGAGGATTCAGCCAATTAAAATCGCTGTTACATAAGTAATCAATGTTGATTTGCTAATAAATCAAAAAGAAATAGTTTAATTACATTTTGATATTTCCAAGTTCTGTAATGTTGGAGAGTGGTGATTTGGTAATAAAACTAGTGATTCTTTCTTTAAGCCAGACAAAATTATATCAACCATTTCTTGAATGTCATTCACAAGTTCAAATATTCGTTCCACATTCAGGAAGACTGCACCACACAATCATGCAAGGTTGCAGTACTTACA